AAGTAGAAAATAGAAATATTATAGGAATTAAAATAGAGCAAAGGTCTTCTCCATACTCTATTTTAATTCTAAATAATTTTCTACTTCTGTGTAACTTATTTTAATTAAATAATAATACATAATATCAATCAATAACAATGTTGTCAAGACATTATTACCTGTCACTGTCACGACCTACCATATAATGTCCATGAGTAATTAGACCTCTCACGGCCTAATTAGTGAGATTTCGTTACATTACGTATACGCATTTTGGACCGTATCAATGTGCGATATATCAAAATATATTATAACTAAATCTGTAAATCCTTACGTAATTGTAAAAGAGGCAGAAATGTCTGAAAGAGGTCTAACAATTACAAGATGTATTATTTTCTTAATAAAAAATATTCTTTCCGTTTTTTTAAAGTTTCTTGCTTATTGTTACAATTGGACCCAACAAACCCTATATGGCTATGCTCGACAGGGAACGTGCTATCCAAATATGTATAAATATACAGAGTGTTCCATTTAACTTAACGAAGTTACCATCCGCGGCTATTTTGTTTGGACTTCATTTGTTTTTCTACTATCATTATTGAAAAATTCATAATCGTGCAACTTATATATTTCACATTTTTTTATAATTTACTATTTCAAATAACATGTTGAAAGTATATGAATCAATGACAAATTGATTTTTTATTCATACTCTCTCTTTTTGTCTGTTTTGGCAATGAGAACAGTAGAAGGTATTTTTTTTGTATTTTCGGTCTTTACTAATATCATGACTTCTTAGTGTAATTTTAACACAAAATTAAAAAAGTATAGATCCAAATGTTAAAATTAGATGTCCTATAATGTTATTTATTTAGTTAATCTGATTCTAAAATTGTTAATGAAAGTTTATTATATAAAACTTATAATAATTATTTTCCGTCTGAGAAAAAAGCTTTAAATGCCCTATTCTGCAGTGATGTAGAAATAATACATTTTAAATTCTATCTACACTAAAAGTTTTGCAACTGTTTTGTGCAAATATGCAGGAAAAAGCGTTTTCGATATGAATAAAAATATTTCGTTATGGACCTGCAAAAGTACAGTAGAAAGTCGTGGTACTATTAACACTGATTTTAAGTATTGAAATGTTGGTTATAATTGTTTTTCTTGTAGAATAGTATTGAAAACCTAATTAAAAATTGGTGCAAATTTTAACCGACGACCCCCCCAACTGAAACGCCTCTGGTCAAAATTTTTGAAAAATTTTATGATGATCTATTTCGGAAATATTAAAAAAAAATAATTTTTTGGGGTCCCAATTATTGGAGCGTAGCTCCCTTAAGGAAGCATTTCTCGACCAATATTTATATGAAATAATATTCTTATTTTTGGCAATAGAATCAAGTGGTAAATTATTGGACACTAATTATGAGACACACTGTATAAATATTATATACAGGTTCAGTCATTAATAATGCTTAATGGCAGATTGTTAACGTCAAAATATACCGATTGAGCCAAACATGTCTTAATCAATTGTTGCTCCTGTTCGTTCTACAGGGTGTTAAAGTTGAAAAAATATTTTCGATTTTTTGATATATTTTAAGTATGTATGGACCGATTGTTTTGAAAATTTGTAGTTCTGCGTTTTTTGGGGTGGTAAATACGAATATGTAAATAGTGTTGAGGTTACGTCTAGGGGGCGCTAGTTATACTGTCCTATCAGTGTAAAAATATGTCTAACTTTTTGTATTTTACAATTTGGATTTTTTTTACTAGAAATTATTGAACTATTCCCGCCGAATCTCAAAATCTTAAAATGTCTGTAAGTCGAAAACGGTTGAATTTATCGATTTGTAACAAGTATACTTTTTTTTATTTAGAATTGAACGTAGTTCAATAATTTCTAGTTAAAAAATTCAAAATTGTAAAATATAAAAAGTTAGACATATTTTTACATTGACAGGTCAGTATAACTAGCGCTCCCTAGTCATTATTAACGACTCTCCCTGTAGGTATATTGAAATGAATGGAAATAGTACAAGCATAAAATAGAAATTTATCATGTAAAGGGATACAAAAATTAGTAGGCAAATAGAAAAACTTTTAATAAACGAGTAAATGTATGATTATAAATAATGACACCTATAGAATGATGGATATTAAAATAAATAATGAATTTTAAATAAATAGTTAATTTTATTAAAGTAAAAGGATTTTACAATTTTTGTTATGTAATAATAAGTAAATAAGGTACAAATTAAAGCAGTGGAGAAATCTTTTTACGGAAAACGGAAAAAGAAAAATAGGTGGTTTTTGACGGGAGAAGAAAAAATAAATGACAATTAAAAAAACGTTTAAAGGAAATGGATATACCTAATTTATAGTTAAAAAGCAAATAATTTATAAGAAGAGAGAATACAATAAATACATAAGGCAAGGTGTTTGGAAAAGTTTATACAAAATTTAAGGAGGTGAAAGTAGAGCCAAAAATAATAAAAAAAGTTGCTCCGTTACTGAGATATGGCCCTCCAAAGGAGTCTTATCATCTGGATATTTTTTAAAATAAGTTTCTTTCTGATTAAGATACTGGAAGGAAAATTGTAGGTAATAATCATATCATAAGGGTCTTTAACTATCATAAATTTCATCAAAATCAGTTATAAATAAGGATACTTTCCTAAATATTCTTAACAGAAATTTTTCGAATTATTTTTATTCCTTTGAACTATCAAGCAAATAATATTATTTTTTAATGAATTTGACTTTTTTGAAACAAAAATTTCCCTACTTTATTTTTTCGAATTCTGCGTAGTTTAGTCGGAAATAATTATTTTTTAAATAATGTATGTCTCAGAACAGTAACTTTTTTTTAACAGTTTCACATAGTAGGCATTTTTCATGGTGACAGTTTCCTTGCAATGATACTAAGGATTGTCACTTTCACGTGCTATCTTTTAAATTCTTACGTTTCTCAATTGCCATATTTGTACATAAATCTGATATTTTATTTTGAAACGAAAATCTTTTATCTCTGCTCTTTGGTTCTGATATTAAATTATTGTCACGTGCACATTACATTTTTTTAACTATCAAATTCATTTGCAAAAATATAAATAATCTTTAGAAATTTTATTTTTCGTTTTTATAATATTCTGCCCTGTATACTAAACTTCTTTCTGTAACTATTAGCCCACAAAATGAAGTAAAATCCATTTTGTGGCCATGTAGCTAATTTAAATAATTTTAATCCTATTTTTAATAAATCTTATCAAATGAAGCCAAATAATTTTAGAATTTGTTTGAATTAGCGCAGTTCCTTTAAAATAGAATCAAAAAGTATTATGAAAATTTTACACTTGTAGCCAATCAAATGATTTAAAATATTACCATGACAAAGAAAAAAATATCCCCATATTTTTCTGTTGTTGGTTATCCTAGACAAAAATTACACTGCAAATTTTCAACTGTATTTTGTAGCCGTTCGAATATAGGATTCTTCGATTTGGATTAATTTTTAAAATATTCTTGTCCCCGAAAAAATTTCCGAATACAATTTAGTGATATTATTAGTGAAAATTATTAGGCATATTATAATAGAAACATACTTTCCAGGTCAAATTGATACTTTGAGTATTTATAANAAATAAATGACAATTAAAAAAACGTTTAAAGGAAATGGATATACCTAATTTATAGTTAAAAAGCAAATAATTTATAAGAAGAGAGAATACAATAAATACATAAGGCAAGGTGTTTGGAAAAGTTTATACAAAATTTAAGGAGGTGAAAGTAGAGCCAAAGATAATAAAAAAAGTTGCTCCGTTACTGAGATATGGCCCTCCAAAGGAGTCTTATCATCTGGATATTTTTTAAAATAAGTTTCTTTCTGATTAAGATACTGGAAGGAAAATTGTAGGTAATAATCATATCATAAGAGTCTTTAACTATCATAAATTTTATCAAAATCAGTTATAAATAAGGATACTTTTCTAAATATTCTTAACACAAATTTATCGAATTATTTTTATTCCTTTGAACTATCAAGCAAATAATATTACTTTTTAATGAATTAGACTTTTTTTAAGTAAAATGCCCCTACTTTTTTTCAAATTCTGTGTAGTTTAGTTAGAAATAATAATTTTTTAAATATTGTCCGGCTCAGAACAGTAACTTTTTTTTAACAGTTTCACATAGTAGGCATTTTTCATGGTGACAGATTCCTTGCAATGATACTAAGGATCATCTTTGTACATAAATCTGATATTTTATTTTGAAACGAAAATCTTTACTTTTATCTCTGCTCTTTGGTTCTGATATTAAATTATTGTCACGTGCACATTACATTTTTTTAACTATCAAATTCATTTGCAAAAAATATAAGTAATCATTGGAAATTTTATTTTTCGTTTTTATAATATTCTGCCCTGTATACTACACTTCTTTCTGTAACTATCAGCCCACAAAATGGAGTAAAATCCATTTTGTGGCTATGTAGCTAATTTAAACAATTTTAATTATTTTTTTAATAAATCTTATCAAATGAAGACAAATAATTTTAGAATTTGTTTGAATTAGCGTAATTCCTTTAAAATAGAATCAAAACGTATTATGAAAATTTTACACTTGTAGCCAATCAAATGATTTTAAAATATTACCATGACAGAAAAAAATATCCCCATATTTTTCAACTCTATTTTGTAGCCATTCGAATATAGGATTCTTCGATTTGGATTAATTTTTAAAATATTCTTGTCCCCGAAAAAATTTCCGAATACAATTTAGTGATATTATTAGTGAAAATTATTATGCATATTATAATAGAAACATACTTTCCAGGTCAAATTGATACTTTGAATATTTATAAATTTTTTGCACATATTAATCAAATTAATTAAATTTGAAATTTTACTTTGACTTCATATGTTAAAGGTTGCTAAGCACATTTAAAGGTATATCTATTATAATGCTTTCATAATATTGTAGTATCCCTAAACTGTAAAGTAAATAAATAAATAAAATAATTGCAGGAATTTTGTGTATTATATTCTACTTTCATAATTTTTCTAAAATTTTACAACTGATGGATTTTTGTAATTAAAAAAATATTGTGATTTTCTTTCGTTTCATTAGAAAATAACTATAAAACAAGATATTTAAACATTTGCTTATGCCTCACAGGTGTCTACTAAACAATGGGTCTCAACAACTTTCTTGTAGTAAGCCGCAGATGATTTAGGCGTTCTAGTCCTATTAATGTTGTCGAAGTCTACAAGGAAGAGGCCGAATTTTTGCCTGAAAAAAAGAATGAGTTATATTAGGTAAAATATTATTTACACATTGTTGATTTAGGAAATTAGAATAAAAATGATTGGATTTAAATTTTATAAAGATGTTTTATAAAATAAATGGCATTTTATTATTTAAATTTAATATATTGAGAAATGTAATATAGTTTTGGGTGCACTGACAGAAATAATCGGAAATAGGTAGATTTAAAACATTTTTAATTATTATTATAACTGTAATATTCATATACTATAGACAGTGTGTGGTTTTGAAGTATTTCATGTTCATTATCATTATCATGTTCATGTTCATTATCATCATCATTATCATGTTTTAAGCAACTTACGTATAACCCCCAAGCCATTCGAAGTTATCCATAAGACTCCATGCAGTGTAGCCAATTACATTCACTCCATCTTCCATAGCACTTCTTACATTGCTGAGATAATCCTACAATTGATCAGTGTCGATTAAATAAATTCAAAAGAAAAGAAAGAAAGAAAAAAAGAAATATTTTGTTTAGTACATTTTAGAGAAGAAGAGTTTGGCAAAATATCGACTTTCAACGATTTAGTATTATTAAGTAAAGGCAAGACATACACAATAAATATATTACCCTGTAGTAACGGACTCTCTGATCATCTTCTAAGGTGGAACCGTCATCTGCGATACCATTTTCTGTGATTATAATTTTTGGATTGTTGTATGTCTTCTTAAACCAGTTTAAAATTTTTCTCATTCCCCATGGGGTAACCTAGATTTATAAATAAAAGTATCTTATTAGAATTACAAAAATATTAATAAAAGTTTTAATAAATAATAATATCGTATGCATTTACATCATACATGGTTTAAAGTTTGATAATATTACATACAAATTGCATTTTATGGCTGTGATAACTTTTGGTACAAGCCTTTGTCAAAGGTTAACGATGTGGATGATTCGAGCACTTTTAAAGTAAAATGTTTGTTCTTGAATTTATCAATGATTAAGAGTTTAACATTTACGTTTAGTTCTAATTGATAAATCTACTTTTTTTATACTGCATGGTAATAAGAAAGTGAATTGGTTGTTAACTATATCTACCTATCTCATGTATAAAAGTAATTGGTTTATTGTTTAATTTTTGTAATCCATTATTAAAAAAAATACCTTCAACCAAGAAGCGGAGCATGACTCCCAATCATCTGATTGGTAGTTTTTAACACCTAAATCGTAATTGTAATTTGGTTCTCCGATTGGTACTTCGTCCATAGCTTCTGCTATGGACGAAGTATACATATTGATACCCATGAAATCGAAAGTGCCGCTAATGTAGGCGATTTCTTCGTCGGTGAATGCTGGAAGACGGGACTGGTTGAAGCCTTCAGCTAAACTACGTTCTGCAATGCGGGTCTTCATTATTTCTGGGTAGTCGCTGTTGTAAATAGCATTTGCGTACCATCCATACTAAAAAGATATTTGATCAATTAATGTATATTGCAGATATTTAAAATGTTTAATTTGATAAAAGTGAATTAGCAAGCTGACTGCGTGTGAACATTTGAACAAGCTTTAGTTGAAAATCAAGTCCAATTCGATCTTTATCAACTACTTAAATAAGCGGACTTGACCCATTCCACAAGTACCCCTAAAGTATTAATATTAGTACAGTCCTTTGTAAACAGATTAAAACAAATATGAATAAAAAAATTCTTCCATTTTTTATAAATGTTTGAGTTCATTAATACTCAATACCTTGAATAAATCGATGTGGCTAAAATTACTTCCTTAGTATTCATTTTTTTTAATCCATTCTAAACATACATTTCTTATAGGAAAATAGACAACCAACTGCATTCCAACTGTTGCAGTTGAAATTACTCCTTTTCCCCTCCTTGGTAAAGCACACATTACTGTTTAAAATAACGAATTCTTAAACCTTTTCAAAGGGTCAGATGAACTGGCTTAAATGAACCAGTTACTTCAAAACTGAGGTATAATCTACCAATAATTGGTCCTTCTAAGGACTAGTTGCTTTAAAATTACGTGGCTTACATTTTGCATTGGTGACTTGATTTGTGGCTGGCCATAAATAAATTGTTTATAAATCTTATGAAACACGGGATAAGTTACAAATAAATGGACCATTTTCGGAAAATTAACTAAATTTTGAAACGTATTTTTAACAGTTTTTATAAAATTCTTTTGAATTTCTTTATATGGAAAAACTGAGAAATATATTTTTAACGAAAGATAAGTCTTGATGAAAGTCATTGCTAAAAATTTCCCTTAATAAAAATTAATAATTGCGATGGTACGGATGTGGTATAAGGTGAAGGTAGAAGGAATATGTGCAGCAGTAGCCATTATGTTTCTACTTTTTTTTTGTAAATATGGTTAGTATTTCTTCAAAGCTATTTTTCTTTTTGCTTTTTTGAATCATATGACTTTACGATAAGGTTATCTCCAAAAAAACAAATATTATATTTGTTGTTTCTATAGCCATATAATTGCTTGAACTTACAATGAATTGTAATGCTCTTTCAGCAGCAGCTATATCTTCTTCACTGTCAGATGCGGGTTCCTCCCAACCAACAGGAATAGTGATTGATACTTGCCCTGATATTTTAAAAATACCAAAATTAATAACAAAAAAGAAATAATAAAGTGTAATTACAAACGATAGGGTAAACTAAAACTTATTTTAGTGAAGATAAAATAAGAATTCCCCATCGTTTCTATTGAATAATGGAATTCCATTTAAATATTTTAAGTACTCATCAAAATATATAGTTTTATAATTACGGTTGGTTTGTCTTCTATTATTTGTCTACATTACTATGGTATTATGTTTTTTCAGTTAATTCAAATAATATTTGTTTTGTTAATTCGAATTTTAAAAACTACCTGCTTAATGATTACTCATCTACATATAACTTTTGAAGCGACTATTTCTTAGAGAGAAAAAAACTAATAAACTAGATGTCCTTTCTCAATGCAATTAAATAATATGTACCATTCTGTGTAGCTCTGAATTCTTGGTCATATATATGCCAAGTTCTAGCATGAGCCTTGAGTACATGATGAGTACATATATATTCTCCTATTCCTGGCGATGCAATTCGTGGGGGAAAATACCCTTGACCATAACCTACTAGGCAAGTTTGTATGGGTTCGTTAAATGTCAACCAGTATTTTACGTTGTCTCCAAAGAGTTCGAAATTTAGTCTAGCGTATTCAGCGAAAGCTTCTACCATGACCTCGCTTGTCCATCCTCCTAAGTCCTGCAAGGGTTGCGGCAGATCCCAGTGGTATATGGTGATCAGGGGCTCGATGCCGTTGTCTTTTAGTTCTTTGATTAGGTTCTTGTAGTACGTCACTCCGGGAAGATTAATTTTGTTTACAAACCCTAGAAATTACAACACTATTTGTATATTTGATCCAAACAAGCATTAATGAGAATAAGATAACTCTACCAAATGTAACTAGGTACATCTCTAATAAAGTCATTGAAATGAAAGTTGTAATAATATTTGTTGAGCAAGCTTTAATAAAAATACAGTTTGTACTTCTCGCAAGTTATTAAAAATTAGAACCTATAATTTGTGAAATGGTATATAAGCCAATTTTCTTTATCTCTAGAAAAAAGGAAAAATTTTAAATTTTTTTGTAAATTTTGTTGTGTGAAAATGAGGAGAATTTTTTTAGGATTATGTGTCCAGCATATTAAAAGGATATGATAAAAACATAAAGGAAGTAGATACTGTTATGAAAAAGATAAATCCCTTAAATTCTATAAAGTAAACAGGTCTTTTCCAAAATGGGTATTTCTAGTGAGGCCATTTATTGGCAGCTACATGCATCAGAAAGGTAGATTCTTCACTGATGTACTGTCAAAATTTCATGACATTTGGACGAATAGAAATGGGAGTTATTGGGCTTTTTTTCGCGAGTGAAGTCGTATGTGTAGTATAAGTGAAAGAAGAGATTTAAACTACCATATGACAATTAAGATCAAAAGAGATAGAAATAGTAACTAAAAGTCAGATATTCACCAATATTCAGTCGCGAAAAAAAGCCTATTGTGTCTCATGTGACAATATGTCATCGATACAAAAACGAGAATCAAACAAAGAGCTAATATTAGGTTTTATTTTAAACTTGGTAAAACATTTAGCGAAACGATTCAATTGATGAACCAAGTTTACGGTGGTGATTGTTTTTCCCTTGACAGAGACCATGGCATATGTCATGTTTGATAACAATGGGGAGGACATAAATGATGAGCAACATGTTAGTCAACCGAAATCCGTGATCACCGCATATTCCTTCAAAACTGTGCGCGAATTCATCAAAGATCAGCCAAAATAATCTTCACTGAAATTCATGAAACTGCAATTGAGCGTCTCGAAAACATCAATTTATCACATTTTGCTACCGAAATGTGTGTGCACAAGTTGACTGAGGACCAAAAATTTTCTCAGAATTCAACATTCGGAGGACATCATCAAGGAGGCCCAAAAGGACAAAAAATTGTGACTGGTAATGAAACGTGGTGTTTTCAAATTGAGAAGGAAACCAAGCGCCAAAGTGCCGAGTGGAAGACGCCAGACGAGCGGAGAATATTACGCAGAAATTGGCGTTTGTTACACGATAATGCGCCATCTCATTGATCAACACTTGTGACCGAATTTTTGACAAAAAATAGCATTTTAGCTGTCATCCGCTCCCCGTATTCGCCTGATTTGGCACCGTGTGACTTTCACTTTTCGGAAAAATACGTTTGTCGGAATGCGTTTTGTATAGAAGCCATCTAAAAGATTGTATCGACATGCGACATCCTGAAGGACATCTCGGACGACGATCTAGAATGCGCTTTCGACATAATTTTGCAAATTGCTGTATTGAGTCGGAAGGGGACTATTTTGAGTAAAATAAACCAGTTTTGTCAAAAAAATTTCTTGTTCTACTTTTAAAAATTTCTGTACTTTGAAACGCATCTTGTATGTGTAATATGTTTACAACATGTTACAATGTGACTCGCATGAAGAAGATTGCTTCTTATAACGTGTTTTTTATGGATATAAAAATTATTCAAGCCTTTACATATATTTAGAATATTTTGTAACATATCGTGAAACTTCCGGTTATCTATATGAAACCTAAATATAAAAATTTGCACATGCCTGATTTGGGTAAGAAGCTTTTAATAAACCCAATTTAATTAGTTTTTATTTGAATTCTCAATAACAAGAACCATGTATAATCTTTAACAAAATGAATTAATTTTTGCAGTCTTAAACGGTGTACCTTAGATTTATCTAATTTATGAATGTCAATATTATGTCCAAATATTTCGAATAGTTTTTCAATATGTTCATAGTGTAAAGGTTGATGGATCTTTCTTACAATAAAAACAATATAATTAAAATGTGCTATTAATGAAAGTGTATTTTGCCATACACAATAAAAAGAAATTAGTAAATTTTCACTCAGAATCTAGAATTGAATTCCGTTGTTAAAATGCCCAATTATGTTGAAAAAATTACACTATTTGTCGAGTAACGTTCAGTCAACTATTTGGTAACACTGAATAACTTTTCAGTTATCTTGCTAAACTGTGTGTTGCTAAATTGGTATACCTGTAGATACTTAATAGTAAATCATTCTTGGTTACAACTAAGTTTCGTTGTTTGACAACAGGGTCCAAACTGCGAGTCGGCATCTGTTCGTACATAATTTTGTGCCCCCTACTTAGAAAGCGTAATATTAACAAGGAATGGAGTGATTTTTACACAGTATGTTCTCATTTTCACATATTTTAGTTCTTTTAATTAAAAATTGTGTTAATAAGGTCATTTATTTGTCAAAATCTTAAATTCAATAAAAATTTAACACCAAAGCAATTTTACTCATAAATAACATTAAAACACTATTATTTTCCACTGTGTACCTTTCTTACTCTTAAAGCTAGATCTATCAGTATTTAAATAATTCCTACCCGAATAGCGAGATTATCATAGACTTATTCTAAATTTTAAAAATAATTACTCAAATCAAAAATGGAACATATCCTTTGTTAGCAGCAAAATAGCCAATGGTGTCGAAACCCTAGGGTTTCCACTATCTTCCTCACTGATTGGCATGTTTGTACCTAAACTAATTCAGTAGATTTTTGTACATAATCAAGTTTCATCATCTACGTCAAACATCTTTTACATTTTAGGTCCTAATTTTTTTAAGGTTAGGTTTTTTACCATTCGGGCGCCAATTTCTAATGTACAATTTTATTTTCTAAAAATAATGTACTCTAGCTAGAACTTCCTAATGTGGACGGTTTTCGAGAAAAATGGCTTTTAATTGAACTCTTACAAAAAGTAGGTGTATAAAAATAAGTGACTTTTCTCAAAGTAGGCTTATGTCAAAACTTATTGATGGATGTCTCATAAACAACGCATACATTCTCAGTAATATTTTAAACTCTAATTAACTTATCAAAATTTTAGTGATTGTTAGTGACTGTAGTTAGTAATGACTAATTACAGTCACTAAAATTTTGATATAAGGTTAATTAGTTTAAAATATTACTAGGAATGTATGCGTTGTTTATGAGACTTCCATCAATAAGTTCTGACATAAGCCTACTTTGAGAAAAGGTATTTATTTTATACATCGTAATATTGTAAGAGTTCAATTAAAAGCCTTTTTTCTCGAAAACCGTCCACATTAGGAAGTTTTAACAAGAGAACATTATTTTTAGAAAATAAAATTGTACATTAGAAATTGGAGACTGAATGAAAAACCTAACCTCAAAAAAAATTAGAAATTAAAATGTAATACGAATGTAGCATAACTAGCGCCCTCTATAAAATACAAAAATAATTAGTCCAGCGTATTTGGCGTTCTTAAAAACCCCGGAATATAAAATTTCATAAAAAAATTTATTTTGTCGCTCTGTATCTCGAAAACAAGAGGAGATAGGCATATAGTTCATAAGACAAAAAATTCTTATTTTTTGTCGTACTATCATCCCCCGAATTTACGGGAGGTCTTTCTGAAACACGCTGTATATACTTACCTAATTAAACATAAACGCAAAAGCCACACAAAATATAGAAAAGTAAATGAAGATAGTTTTCATTTGATCTATGCACGGCGATGAATAAAAATAAACGTAACTGTTAAAATAAATAAAATACCTGTAGGAAGTATCCTTGACCAGGATAGAGAAAATCGATAAAAATCAACACCTAATTCTTTCAACATAGCCACGTCTTCTTTGTACTTGTGATAAGAATCACAAGCTACATCACCTGTGTCATTATTAGCAATTAATTCAGGATAAGAGTGCGTAAAGCGATCCCAAATATTTTCACCTTTGCCATCTTCATCCCATGCACCTAAAATAAGAGATTTGTTTTTTAACTAGAAAAACTTGGAAATATTCATATAATCTTCTATTTCACTTTTCGTAAGGTTTCAGTGTCCATATCCTATTTTAATTATTTCGTTTGACTATTATACAAACATTCTAAAATGAAATGAATTTGTGTGTACACATTTGTCTCATATTCAAAAATAGATAAAATAAAAAGATTTGATCGCCTCAATGTTTTTTTCTTAACTTCCAGAAGCAGTTTCTTAGTGACTAATAAGTATCAAATCAGCTCAAAATTTAAATGCTTGTAATAACCATAAATAAAAATTATCAGACGGTAGTTACAGGATATATAAATCTAAAAATATTTATTTCATATTTCTTTTCTCATAGCCAACTAATCTTATAATAATAAAACTTACCCTCTACTTGATAGGAAGCTGTGGCTGCACCAAACAGGAAGTCTTCAGGAAAAAACTTATTATTAGTCTCATCCTGTGCTATGCTAAAAAATTAATATGAAATTTATCGATGACTTGAGCTCCCAGAACATTTTAAACTATATCTTCTAGAAATAGTTTCTGACGATTTTTATTGGCTATCTCTAAAGTTTCAGGATGAAACATACGTGCAACGTATTCTCAACATTATTATTCTACTTTAAAAATATTCAACCTTTAAATATTTGAATATTCATTACTATTCCATTTAATTATCCAAGCAAATGATATTTCAATGTGAGAATTTTAAATATAGCAGCTATATTTTTGAACTTCTAGGATTCAGACGGTTGTGGTTTGTTTACCGAACAAGCAGTAGTGCCTCAGAAGGAGACTGTTCTAAACTCACCTAATTGCAATCAAACAGCAAAATATAAAACCCCTGAGAGACATGACTGATGCTATTAAATGTTTTAGAATGTGGCTTATATATATGTGTTCACATTAATTTGTTACAAATACAATTTTACAAGTGCTTTTAGTTTCAAGTAGCTTTTATCCATGAAATGATAAATTATTCTTAAAAGCGTAAAAATATGGAGTGTCTGAATTATGTACAAAATGACATATTTTATAAGTATTGAAATCGATCGAATTGAATTGATTATCAAAAAACTATAGGCTAACGAGTGAATTATAGAGTAAGGACAATAAATAGAGAGCAAGTTTAGCAAAGTGATGTAGAATAATGCTTGTTCTAACACGTAATTTATAAAATTTAAATAGATGCTAGAGGTGTTAATCAACACTTGATTAGTTTTGTATAGAAAATTATACATACCGTTCAGTTTATTATTATTATTTTGAAAGTATTAATATAAATCTATAATAATTCACAATCTGCAAAAAAGACTGAAAAACTACATTTTCAGAAGAGTTACCTGCTGAACAATTGTCAGCCTTACATACATCACTATTAACTAAGAATAAAACTAATTCAATAGAGAAACACAAAAAAAAAGAAAAATTAAACAAATTTTCAATTAACTTAATATTAAGCATTCCTCCGCATCAGAGATAAGGAAAATATGAGAGTATAGAGTAGTTATGTTAGAGTATAGGAGAATATAAAAGAACTTTTGTTTACTTTATCTTTAAATTGAGAAATTGGCAATGATTTAATACCAGCAGTCAAACTGTTATAAAGGTAATATACAGGGTGGCCAAATGAAAACGAAACAGATCCATTTTCAGGAACTGCGTCAATATTGTAGAAAATCCTTTGACCCGTCGATTTTAGATTAAAGGGATTCTTTGCTGGTATTTTTGACTCCGCCACTTTCATCCCCAAGCAAGGGTAAGCATCACCCCAAATTATTTAAATGGCATTGGGGGTAGAGTAATATTTCTTTGGAAAGCTCTTACAATTCTCTTTACAACAGACTTTAAATTTTATAATTCCGCCCAATACTAAATTTAAATTATGCTTAGTTGCTTACTTACTACTTAGTTGATTAAATGTTCAGACTGATGACCGCCCGCTTCCATACAAGAATATAGATTTTGTTCGAAACGTTCGCGCACATTCCGAAGCATTTCCGTAGTGATTCGACGGCATTCGTCGCCGATTCTTTGACGCAAATCTTCCAGCGACGCTGGCTGTGTTTTATATATTTTACATTTTAGGTATTCCCGGAAAAAGAAATCAAGGGGTGATAAATCCGGTGATCATGGAGGCCACTCAATGTTGCCTCTTCTCCCAATCCAATTCCGTAGAAAACGTTGGTCCAAATATGACGGACAATTAACGCATAATGCGGAGGAGCACCGTCCTGTTGAAAAATGAATGATTTACTAGGTAAAAAAAGGACCCACCAGCCGGTCACCGAAAATTCCAGCCCATACATTTTAATTTTTCCCGTTGCTGTGTATGCACCTCGTGAAAAACTCTTGGGTTTGAATTGGACCAATAGCAATTGTGACGATTTACCGTCCCGTTCAAGAAAAAACTGCATTCATCAGAAAAACAGATGTTAAAAAGGAACAGTGGATCGTTCCCTGCTCGCTCACTCATTATTTCGCGAAATTGAAAACGGCGGTCATAATCATTCTCATTAAGTTTCTGGACTAAATGTATTTTGTATGGATGGAATTTATTTTTCTTCAAAATGGTTTGTATGCTAGTTCGATTAATCCCAGACACAGATGCCAGCTGCCTCATACTTAATGTAGGATCAAGATGAACTTGTCCCAAAACTGCAACTTCACTAGCTTCATTAACTATAGGTTTTTCGATTTATCGTTTTTTATTGGCTACGTTCCCTGTCTCTTGAAATTTTTTTTACTAACTGTAGAACATACTTACTCCTGACATGTCGATCTTGATGTTCATTAAATGGCTGAGCTGTTCTATTCGCACATTTATTGTTCATAAAGTAAAGCGAAATGATATCTACCCTTTCCGCAATGGAATAAACCATAGTGTTTAATTTTCAAAAACACAATTAAATAAACTGCCAATNTTACGTTCATTGTGTGTGTATAGCATTCATTTCTGTTGTTTACAATTGTGTTTTTTTTACGAAAGTGATAACAAATCAAAAACCAATGTAACGCAAGAAATACTAAATTTATACCATTGGCCTACTTAACTCGAATGACTGACATTTTTTCCGTTACTAATTGTTTGTACATAAGTTTCAACTTTAAAATCAAAATTCTTAATAAGCATTGGACGGAATTATAAAATTTAAAGTATGTTGTAAAGCGAATTGTAAGAGCTTTCAAAAGAAATATTACTCAACACCCAATGCCATTTAAATATTTTGGGGTGATGCTTACCCTTGCTTGGGTGTGCAAGTGGCGGAGTCAAAAATACCAGCAAATAATGCCCCCCTTTAATCTAAAATCGACGAGTCTGAACGTTTTTCTACAATCTTGATGCAGTTCCTGAAAATAGTTCTGTTTCGTTTTCATTTGGCCACCCTGTATATTGTACGAAAATGATCTACGAAATATACTTGTCCTATGCGCTGGAGGTGAAATTATTGCTTTGAATCTGAGATTTAAGGTGTGAATATCAGTACGAAACTTTATTTTATTATATAGATAAAGAGGACATTTAGTAGTAATAATACTATGAAAAATAATTAATATTGACTTAAGAGAAGTAGATTACAAGTTTCGATGAGGGTACAACAACTTTAAATTTAAATAAGCCTTCTGCAAACATTTTGAATTGCGATTTTTAAAACGTAAATTTGTATCAATGTAAAACTCCAAGATTTTTTGCAACTTTAGAACATGATAATTTCATGGCAACTATATTTATATTAATGTTTTTTTCTACAAAACAACGATTTTTGCCAAACACTACAACTGTTGACTTGCTTGAATTAGATTATGTTTTCCAGATAATTGAATAAGTTTTTCCAATTCACTATCTATTGCCATAGTATAATCATTAAACTCAGAGGTAAAGAAGGAAATGTATATTTGAGTATCATAAGTATATGAATGAAATTTAACACGTTGTAAACAACAAATTATATGGCAAGTGTATATACTAAAAAGAAGTAGAGTATAGAGTTCTGTGGCACACCGCAAGTTATATAAAATATATCAGACGTACCGCCTGATGTTTCTACATACTGCGACCTATTACTATTTAAATAACTACTTAATAACTGTATTCCATTGTGCTGAAACCGAATAAAATGTTATATAGACAATAAAATCACATGACTAATTGTATCAAAGGCCTTAGAGTAATCTAAAAATAATTTAAGAATTGTGGTTTTACCTATATCTATATCTCTAAAAATATCATCTGTTATGTTAAGCAAGTAGTACAACTGTATCCCCTACGAAAACCTGAAGTTGTAAGAGTCCTTGACTATCCAAAATATGCAATGAGTTCCGGGAATATGACGCTTCCAGGACTGAGCAGAAAGAGACACCTATTGTATGTAGAGTTTTGGTTGTTTCTTAGGAGTGATTTTTGGCAATTAAAAAAACTAGAAGTTTGAACACATTCCAGCTTTGACTTTTGGGGGTCAAAATATATAGGTTGGTATATGTCTCATCCTCGGAACAGGTTACCTTCTTTCGTGTGTCTGAGTTACCAACACAAATTTCATCTTCCAACGTATAGGTATTAAATATCTTCAGAGATGCGATATTTTGCAACTTCAACATGACGTACCTCGAAAACCAACGTTTTTAGATCCTTGATGTGGACTTTAAAACGTATTGTATACAATACCTTGCTGGGTGGATCTAAATTCTTCATTATTAATATGCCGGGCTTTGGCATGAGCATTATGGGCGTAAAGTAATGCCGGGTATAAGCATACATATCCACCTGTGCCATACCTGGCTAAACAAGACTGCATGGCGTCGTTAAAAGTCAACTAATACGTCACCGAATAGCTCGAAGCATAGCCTTGCATAGTCCGCGTAAGCATCTATTATGAAGTCACTAGGCCATCCACCGATATCTTGTAACGGTTGAGGTAGATCCCAGTGATATGGAGTTATTAGGGGTTTGATGTTGTTTTTTAGTTGTTTAATTAAATTTTTGTAATATGCAACGCCAGGAAGGTTAATTTCGTTACTATTTAGTAGAAATAACATAAGAAATTATGCCTAGAAGTGAAGTACTTAAATTGAAATTTGAGTATAAAAAAATATCGTGGATATTAGATAAATAGATTAACAAACCTTTATAGAAGAGGATTAACTAGAAGTTATTTTTTATATAATAATATTTTTACAAATCTAAAGAACCCTACACTTAAAAGTTAGATCAATACTTATCGTCGATTAAAGGGGAAACAATAGTAGCATGATCTGATAATATCAGTCAAATGTGGCATCAACTGAGGTGTCTTATCTTCCTTTATTTATAAACGTCAAAGGTACACTGTCTCTCTCTTTAAATCATGGTTAATTATATAGGTAATCCTCGTAGATTAAAAATTTAAAAAACAATACTTGAACTGATTCATGTGAGTTTCTTTTTGACAGTGGCGATTTTTCAGAGGGGTCAGGGAAGCTAAGACTCTTTAAACATTTTATTTTTTACAATTTCTAATAAATATTATTATTTGTTTTATTTTTATAACATTAATATGGACCACATTTTTATAATATTATCTATTTATAGCCCTCCAAAAATACAGCAGAAGGTAAAATCTTCCGTGATTCCTCTATAGATCCTAAATGTACTCTCTAATTTCTAATACATAATATTACATGAGAGGAAATAACCACATTAGCAAAATTTAAACGTTTTGCTCGTAAAAAGTGTAATTTATGAATTGTAAAAGGCTTTTTGTAGTTACCTACTTTTGCAAAATACACTTTTCACATTTTAAAAATTCCAAATCTAGAGAGTTTTCACCATCAGTAACGGCAGTGACAGTATTTTGAATAGTAAGGTGACGTTACGCATTGTTCTAGCTATGTCGTGTCCAAATTTGGTTAATGCATTGCTCTCGGTTGCGAAAATTCAATACATATGTTTTCAGCCACGAAAATTGAATAATTCCATATATTTCGAATTTTCACCACCAGAAACGGTGGTGACAACATTTTTAAAAGTTAGGTGATGTTTCGCATTGTATTAATTAGGTATGTCCTGTCCAAATTTGGTTAGTACAGAAACGAATATTTTTTACGAAAAATGCCAGTGTATCTCAATTTTTGTTTTTGGAGATTTTACTTGGGAAATTTGTTAAATTTTATGTTCAACTGTTTTTGAGCTCTTGATATTTTTAATAGTAATTTCTTTCTTCAAAATTCGAGCTTTTAAATTTAATCAATTATAGTGTCGTAAAAACATTTCGAAATATGAATTAATAACAATAATTATTACGATAAATGTGCAAATTGAGCTGACTATTTGGTACTTGGCAGTACCTTTAAGCTGAATGAATGTCTTTTGAATATTCCATTTCAACAATATGGTATGTCGTTACATACAGTACTCATTCGAGAGCACTCTGATGTCTTTCAGAATTGGATGATCTCTCTGAAATAGAAGATTTAAAATAATGCGATCGGAGCAAAGGCAACAAGATATTATGCCCATGTCACAAAATGTGTTTAAATCATCTTTCTTCAAGGCAAACATTAACAGGACACATCATGGAAAATCATCTTAGCATATTTCCACCCATTAACGTTACAACAGCGCGAATACGTTCTATGACATCTTCTTGATTGTCAACGCTTTAAACTGGTTCTTCCAATAGACTTAGAAAAAGAAGGATTCAGATCTAGAAATTTAGGAGACCGTGGTTGAGTCTCTCTTCCACACCATTTCTCAGGGAACTTTTCTTCAGCACACTACTAGTACTACTACTACTACTGCTACTGCTACTGCTACGGCTACGCCTACCACTACCACTACCACTACCACTACCACTACCACTACTACTAACGAGAATATTATAAGAGAAATTTTCTTACTAAAAGATACGTTGAGAGGTGAATCATTTCCACTTATATCACTATATGTGAATTTGATGCCTTTTTTTGGGGATATTTGGGAGAACCAGTTTACAGCGAACATATTGTCAGCATAGGGGTCAATTTTGAGTCACTCTGATTAAAAAATGGATTCGTTTATCATTTAGGATAAAATTAGTTGCAGATATGTAATTATTGATGTCATTTATTTTATAACATTATTATTATATACTTATTAAATTGATATCCATGTTATTTATAGAAAAAAATTGGGGAAATCATTTGATAATTTTATAGTGTAAATAACAAATTCTACTTATGAAGTATTATGAACCGAGGGATGTAATTAAAAAAACTGTATCTTAACATTATGACATCCGGAGCAACTGGACGATCCACCTTGGCTTTACCAAAAATTATTCTTTTTTGTTCCACAGTCCTAATTTCTGTTGCACAAATGTTTTCAAATGCACATCTCAAATATTAAGTCAATAACTGATATCTAATCTAATCCATACCAACTCAAATTTTGGCACACGCATCAACAGGGTGTTTACCGGTATCTCCAATTTTATCAAAGACTTGGTGGGTACACTTATGTTGAACAAGTCTAATCACAAAGTTTTGCAAACACATCGTTTTCAATAAACAGATTGACTGAAATAGAAAGATATTTAAAACGTACCGTTACAGAATCCCGTGGTGGATAACTGAACAACTTGATTTTGATATTCAGTTGAATTTTATATTACAGTGCGTTTTAATAATAAGAACAAAAAACAGGTTGAAGAAATAGGTTACATTGTTTACAAACTGTCAGTCATATTAGATAAACTGTTATTTATTCATTGTGCTAAAAGGAAATTTCATACAATATAATACTAAATATAGGTACAATACCTTCATAAATGCCCGAGTCCTATGTGACCGCGTCTGTTAGGCAATCAAACTTATAGGAGAGGCAATGATTAACACATAATTTCCTAAAGATTGGGGATAGCCAGTAGAGTAGGTATAAACATTGAACTTTAATCTGCAAAATTTTTTACATATTTACTTACGAAATAATCATACTCTAAAATATGTTGAATTTTTATCCTATTCTATAATGAGAAAGTATTTTTTGATTGACGGTTGTCCTTTTCAAAATGTAGGCTATTTTGTAATCCACTTTCATTTAGAGATAATAGTTTTATTAATAAAATACAAAATGTTTCAGTTTTTTTTTGAGTATTTAAATATAAATTATAAGCTAATTAATTTACAATATAATGCTAATATAAACACAAAGTTTTTTACTCACAGTCAGCTAATAAAAAATTTATTATATTAATGAAATTTAAAATAATTGTTCAAAATTGTTCACTTGGTATTATAATGTTTATTTTATCTTCAATTGCTGTTTGTAGCTCTTCAAGTACGTGAAGGGGATTTTTCAATCTCTTGTTTTTGATATGACCAAATTGATAAAGAATCACAACTTCGAGCAAGTCAGAAACTCCTAGTAATCAATTTATAATCGTAAAATTTTTGAAATTATCTTATAGTTTCTGGTCTAAAATGTTAGGGTATCCCGTTTATTACTTCTCGGAAGAAATTGAGCCTATTTTCCGTTTTCTTCAAACTGCTACCCAGATATCTATCTGCTGTCTATGACGTTGGTTATATTTTGCATCACTAGATATTTTGTCTCGAAGAACATTATTTCATCTGAAATGATAAAATATTTTACAGAGAAAATTTGATTTATTTGAAATAGTTTAATATCTTTAAAATAAATTAGAAATATATCAATTATGTTACCTCTTAATTATAATCCGTACAAAATTTTCCAAAATATCAAGTTACATAATCAATGCCTTAATCGTGGAGTATTAAATTTATCTGAAGGATTTCGTAATCTAACAGATTTTTGAGATTAATATTAATTTATGAAATATTAGATAAGAGATACTTTTAAAAATACGTGCAGTAGGTACTTTATTTGTATAATTTAGAAAAAAACATTTTGAAACCAATTTTTTTATTAATAATGAGATTAACTTACAGATAATTTAATAGTATGTGCTTCAAACAGACAAACCACTAATCAATATATTTTATCTGTATCTATATATATATACATAAAAATCCCAAAATATACTGTTCAATCTTGGTCAACATGAGTCTGAAAGTTGTGGTCTTGTGTTGCTTACTTGCAACTGGGTGAGTTGATTGATGTGTACCCGTATATAAGTATAGTTATAGTTAGTATTTCCTGTAAGTTGATAAGGTTTTATAAGAAATTAACGTTAGAGGTTTATGTTTGAGTGGCTAGAATAGCAAATTTTATTGTTGCATAGAACATAAAAACCGAGCTTCACTTTTTCCAAATTTGGTTTTGGTTTTTTGGAGAAAATATTCTGATTGAAATGAGTACAAAATTTTAATAAATAAATTGCTAAAAGTGTTTTATAAAAGAATAGATGCTGAATATAAAATTTATTACGTTCTGTTTATACAGGGTGTCCCTGAAAAGGATGGATAACGTTTGACCACAGGTTCCTTGGATGAAAATAAGATTATTTAGCCTAACTTGCCTATACACAAAAATGCACGCCTACTGAGATATAGCCTTCTAAATATAGAACAGATAACCTAGTTTTTTTTTCAAATAATTTGAAAACTGTTTTTCTTAGAAACTTCAAATTTGGTATACATATTTTTTTATATAAGGGCAATGTAAATATAGAATTTGGTGATAATATATGTACAGGATGTTCTCTTTCTAGTGCCTGTGCGCCACTGGCTATCCCGTAACTTTTTTGTATGTACGTCAATGACGACAGAATTTATATTTTTAAAAATAAGCACTTTAGAGGATTTTTTGCCTTTTAAAAAATTTTGATATCCGTTATGGATTTCGAAAAAAATTTGTAATTTTTTACACATTAAATAATATAAAATTAGTTTAAGAGAAATAATGTACGAGGTGGCATATAACAAAGAAACAAATTCATAGCAATAATTAAAAGGTATCAATTTTGGGTATATTTAAAATGCTGATGTTGACTTTCTTACATTATTAGTTGATATTGTTTATTTAAAATATTAGTGTTGATTTTTATTTTATTGATTGATAATAGATACTAATACTAAAAATGTGTAGTTATTTTTTTTAATGTGACATTTTTTCATTATTATTCCCTGCTTTGAGGCTGCAGTTATAAATTATTTTTTACAAATCGGAATTTTTGCCTATATTTAATGTATAAAAATGCTAATTTTACTCGAATTCCATAAACGATATCAAAATTTTGTAAGAGCAAAAAAATCTTCTAAATTAATGCTTATTTTTAAAAATATAAATTCTGTCGTCATTGGCGAACACACAAAAAAGTTACGGGATAGCCAGTGGCGCACAGGCCCTACAAAGAGAACATCGTGTGTATGTATTCTCACCAAATTCTATATTTACCTTGCCCTTACATAAAAAAATAAGTGTACCAAATTTGAAGTTTCTAAGAAAAATATTTTTCATATTATTTGAAAAAAACTAGATTATCTCTTCTATATTTAGAAGGCTATATCTCAGTAGGCGTGCATTTTTGTTATAGGTAAGTTAGGCTAAATAGTCTTATTTTCATCTAAGGAACCTGCGGTCAAGCGTTGTCCATCCTTTTCAGGGACACCCTGTATATTTGTTAATAAATTCTATTACAATAAAAATTAAACTATGTATAGGTATGAAATGCAATAAATATATGGAAAAAGAAATTAAATCGATGAAAAATTTTAAAACAATAACGGTTGAGGGATTATTCCTTTGTAATTAAAAGATAAATGAACATTTTTTTGCAGCTTTTCTGATGATGAGGTAAACAATAAAGCTTTTCCGGGCGATTTCCTTTTCGGAACAGCCACTGCTTCTTATCAAGTTGAGGGTAAGTCTTTTGATAAATTTCTCTCTTTCTTAACAAATAAGTTAAAATGGGTATTGTTGGACACTGCTGTTTCTTCTTTATTTTTATGACCAATTTAGAACTACTTTCTATTATAGTAGGTAATGTAAAATTCAATTTATTTTTCAAAACTGATAGGTAATGATAATGATAATTTAAAATATGTTGCATATTACCGACATTCAAATGAACGTAATAAGTAAATATTGATACAAAAAAGTATTGTTTATTTAAATTTTGAATAAAAATACAATAAACACAACATAGAATAGGTAAGTCGCTAATAAATATATCCATCTCGATGTTTGCATGTTCGGTTACCAATCCTCGCATATCGCTTTTATCAATTCTTCTCCATGCGTTACTACGGAAAACTTTCTTTGACAATGGGTAGCTACAAGTCTCATCATCAGTTTTATCAATTTTAGTATCAGCAATTAAAGTTACAGTACATGAGATTAGTCATTGATCACTATTATTACGAAGAACAAGGCGAACGATTTCATCAGGATATGAAGGTTATAGAACAGCGATATCCAGGAAGACGGGATGAAAACATGATGGCCGATTTTTGTTGGTTGTTGAAAAGAGAAACGAAAAATAGAGGGTTTAAACGAAAGCGTAACCTTTTGCATTGATCCTTTGAAGAAAAGACAACACCTTATAGCAACAAAAATAATAATGATTTGTAGATATCGTTGTCTTTTATTTAGAAAGTAGATTATTATGCAAGTTTTATTGCATTCTCAATCTTCTAGGCTGTTATCTCATCTCTCAGTACAAAAAGTAGATGGATAGATGAGTGGATGGGTGGGTTTTATAGGTGGTACAGGTGGATGAATAAATATGCGTATTCATGCATGAACTACTGGATAGAAAGATGTATGAATTCATAAATGGATGGGTGGATAAAAAGATGGATCCAGAATTGCAACACGAATTATGCCATGAAAATGGTGTTTTTTTAATATATTTTCTGTTTTTGAATGAAATTGGACCAGCTTGCCTGACTCTATGATGCTAAATTGGAATTAAACGAGTGAAAAATCATACGTCTAGTGAGCTGGTAGAGTAATTTGATTTTTTATAACTTTCGCTGATCGTAAATGACTTTTTCTGTGAATTTCCCGAAAACTCAGACCCGTTGCGTTGAGCCAAATCTGAAGGCAGATTCGGATTCAGCGGAAAAAATACATGGAAATGCATGGGTCTGAATACCAGATCCGATCCTTTTTTTTGTGGGGCTGTGAATAATCCCAATAATAGAATGATATGGAAATAGATACTTAAATGAATTTAATATTTATTCGAAAGCAACAGCTAAAAGTCTGACAGATTATTAAATGAGCCAAATGATATAAACAATTTTTTCTACAGTTTTCAGGTAAAGTCTGTAGATAATAATCTTTTACAATACTATAACCAAAATTTTAAAACTAATTTTAATTCTTTATTTGAGTTTAGCAAAGTTTCGGAAGAAATTGTTAAGCAAAAATATTTTGAAATTAAATCATTTGCTACCAGACCTGACCACATTAATTTAAATATGATCCTTTTAAGTTGTTCGAGAACTTGCCTTTATACCAACATTGTAAATACATTTAAATAAGTACCTATAATATTCTTCCACAACAGCAATCTGAATTCATTGTCATAGGTACCTGGATATAGTTGTACAACTGCATTACTTAACATAGTTGATGACATTATTAGGGCTACATATGAGGGGAAAACCATTGCTCTTGCGCTTTTGGATTATTCTAATACATTTGATAAAATTAATCATAAAGCTGTTACTGTCCATTTTATATTTCATTGGATTTTCGGAGGCTGCAGTTGAACTTATGCATGGTTACCACAATAACAAAATTCAGTTTGTAGAAACTAATAAAGGGGAGTCATCTCGGGGTGTTGTTTCATGTGGAGTACTTCATGGTTTATGCAGACGATACTTTATATCTATTTATATTTCGATTCAAAAGAAGTAACTCATGCTAATATGGCCTTATATACTGACATTAGTAACGTAAATAATATTATGATAATTAGTTTTACAATTTGATTTTTAATTGTTCTTTGTACCCGAAATATTTCGCAGAGACTGACATACTATTTTGATAAATAAAAGAAAACAAAATATATTATTAGGCAATAAAATAATAGTATTATAAAGTAGGTATTATTTTATTTACATATTTGTGTATTCTCGACGTTATTTACAGGTGCGTGGAATGAAGACGGCAAAGGGGAGAACATCTGGGACCACCTTACCCACACTCAGCCAGATTTAGTTGATGGGAAGGCTAATGGTGATATCGCTTGCGACTCTTATCACAAGTACAAGGAGGATGTAGCCTTACTCAAAGACTTGGGTGCCAATCATTATCGATTCTCGTTATCCTGGTCAAGAATTCTTCCTAACGGTAAATAATTGTTATATACATATATTATATTTTATTTTTACTTCTTCTATTTACAGTAACTTTAAAGAATTGCTTCATGTGGATGATACTAATTTAGGATATTTTGTTAAACAGGGCTTAGAATAGAAGAGTAAAAAAGGAAACATTTAAAATAATTTTAGTAAAAAATTCCTTGCGACATTCATAGAAAACATATTTTCACCTCTAAATGATGCAAAGATATACAGGATTCGAATGTAAAATTTGGCGCTCTATTGATTGCTGACATAACAATGGAACGTTTCATTTAATACTTTCAAATTGACTTTGGTTTGACCTTGAAATTTAAGGTCAAGGTTATATCCAAGACCACCAACACATTGGATTCTTGATATCTTTTATCTGAACCTTTTAGTGATATGACTTGGGTCTTTTTTGGGACACCCTGTATGTTGCAAGTTTAATGTAAAATAAAAAAAATCCGTCAAACTCGTAATGATTGCCCTAAAGTGTGATAGAGCTATATACAGTGTGACTCATTTGTTCTCGAGACACCCTGTAAAACTCAGTTTTTGATTAATTTTTTTCACTAAATTTTTTAAAGTGTACAGCTTGATGAACTGCATTTTTTGAACAAAAAACGTCTCGTTCATACAAAATCCAAGGCCTGCTACAGCCAGTTTTGAGAGGCAAAATTTTAATAATTTATATTGGCAATTTTGGAAGACATCTATGCACGCCACTGGATTCACCAAGTAATAACAATTTTGTATCTAAAATAAGAATACACAGTACCTACTTATTAACTGTTAATTTAATGTCGGTTAAAATTATATAGGGTGACAGAAAACAAATAGATCACATTATATTGCTAATCGACATCGTATTTCAGAAACGATGAAGGTAACAATGGACTGATTTTTTTATTAGCGAACTTGCTGTACCACTAATAACAAATAATTCCAACTTCTTAACAGCTATTTATAATTTTTATTCTAAAATTGTAAAGGACTCCGCACTGGTTTTATGAAAATGTGGACTTGGTTAAATTGGTTGAAATTGTGGTAAGTTGTTAGTTTTGTGCTACTGAGCAAAAGTCTCCACAGTATGTCCCAAAATCAATACTTCCCTACTTATAGTGATCTGAGTTAGTTTTGCTGATGATCGCTGCAAAGTAGTATGAGTAAAATATTGCAATAAAGACAGTAGCTTTTGTGAAATGTTTATAGAAAAAATTTTTCGGATGACTTCGAAAAGTTGCTAATTAATATTTTTGACATTACCAAATACCAAACTGACGGCTGAACCGGTACCAAGCCCGAGGCCCCATCACTCAAACGATGGGGAAAGGAGGAGGGAGAGAACAATCAATTTTACAACCATAAGATTAATTATTGCGTCATCATCAACAGAAGTGACTCAGACCGCTATAAGTAGGAAATAACTGATTTTTGGACCCAAGTGCTGTGGAGACTTTTGGTCATTAACGTAAAACCAACAACTTACCACAATTTCAGTCAATTTGATCGAGCACACGTTTTCATAAAGCCAGTGTAGGGATCTTTGACTACCTACCAGCCTATATAAAATGGTGCTGATATTATAGCTAAAGCAATATTTTTTAGGTACTCCCGACAAACTTAACGTTGCCGGCGTAAATTATTACAAAAATCTCATTCAAGAACTGAAAAATAATGACATAATACCTTTGGTAACAATCTATCATTGGGATCTACCCCAGGTCCTACAAGAACAAGGAGGATGGACTGATGACTTCATTGTAGAAGCTTTTGCTGACTACGCAAGAGTTTGCTTTGAACTTTTCGGAGATGACGTCAAATATTGGCTGACCTTCAACGAACCCAAACAGACATGTCTGCAGGGTTACGGAGACGGTTCCATGGCACCAGCAATAAAGGAGTCTGGTGTGATGGACTACAAATGCACCCACAATGTCATCCGGTCCCATGCTAAGGCATGGCATATTTATGACCAAGAATTTAGATCCACACAGAATGGTAATAATGTTGAAATTAATTAGAAACTAGGAAAGTAAAAGGTTTTCTTATAGGAAGGATCTCTATCACCATCGATACTAACTGGTTTGAACCTGATGATGATTCTGCTGAAAATGAAGCTGCTGCTGAAACAAAACGTCAATTTACTGTAAGTACTAAATATTTAATGAATAAGAAAATATTTTAATGATATATACTTATTACAATACTCAGATACAGAAAAATAGAACAGAACAAATAAAGATTTCTGCTTAAAAAACATAATATATCCAGTAAAACTTAAATATCTAAAAATAAATAAATATTAAAATATTATAAAATAATTCGTATTAAAAATATTATTTATTTCATTAACACAAAATATCACTTACATATGCCCTAATCATAATGCAAGATGAATAATATTGTTTATTTAATTGGAAAATTAAAATATCGTTATTAATTACAGTTCGGTTGGTACGCAAACGCCATATTTAACGGTGACTATCCAGAAGTCATGAGGACCCGTATAGCAAACAGAAGTGCGGCTGAAGGTCTTAGTGAATCTCGTCTGCCTAAGTTCACCGATGAAGAACTATCATACATTCTCGGTACTCACGATTACCTGGGTCTCAATGTGTATACTTCGTCCATAATCAAAGCAATTCCAGAACCAGAAATAGGAACTCCAAGCTACTACTCAGATATCGGAGTAGGAGAATACGTACCAGACGATTGGCCTGGTTCTGCTTCTTCTTGGTTGAAGGTAAGGATGAATATAACTGAAATTAAATAAAAGAAATTGTTTTATGGTATAGGTATATTATCAAGTCAAGGAGCTTGGTGATTTTAGAAATTACTTCACTAACTTATAGTTAAGTTTTTCTAAAAATTCTTTGCTTGATTAGTTTTTTTTTACCATTATTACTTGACTTGAGACGATTCAATTTGATGTCAAGCACTCAAAAATTTCGAATTTTGATATTATTTCTCTAATAATCTATCGAAAAATGTTCAATACTTTAATACAATTTTTATTTTTCTTGCTATTTTTAATCTAACAATCTTGAGTTGGCATTTAATAAATTTCACTATGATAAAAATTCAGTTTCCTTTTGTAAAAACAATCGCTGAAAAGCTGTTCTATTTTTCAAGTACTTAAAACATATTAATTTCAAGTGAAATCAAGTCAGTAGGAGTGACAAAGACAAAAGATCTTAGTAGAGTAGGGCAGGTATAGTCCGTACAGTATTTGTTGAGATAGAAATTCCAAGAACTACTATAGCAATTTACTGCGACAGGGGCGTGCCCTGAAATTTTACACCAATGTCTTTCTACCTCGGGTGTTGAATGCGTTTAATTCCAAGAATGTAATGCAGGGGTCTCCTTGGAATCCTATTTCAGTAAATATCATACGGACAGTACCCTCTGTGCAAAAAAATTTCGTCGTTATTTAGTGGAAGTTTTATTTACAAGAATATATTTAAATATATGAATAAATTGCGATGATTCTGATCCAGCTGTACGATATCTGATTATACATATTTAGGAATTCATATTTTGTTTTCATAGGTAACACCATGGGGAATGAGAAAATTACTAAACTGGGTGAAAACCACTTACAATGATCCAGAAATTTTCATTACTGAAAATGGCGTCTCAGAAGACGGTTCATCGTTGGAGGACGAAATAAGGATTAACTATTATAGGGTAATATAAACTTCTTTTGTTTATTTCTACTAAATTACATATTGGTTGTTACTAAACAGAGTAATAAAATTTAAATGAATGACCAAAAAGGCCAATTTGCTTCATATGAATTTTCTTTGTCAAAGAGAAAATTTGATGCTCAGATTAATCTATGCATGACTTATTCAGTATTTTGAATATTTTTTTCGTATCTTAGTTTGTATATTGTCATATATTTCTATAGGATTATTTGAGCAATGTCAGAGATGCCATGGATGATGGTGTCAAAGTAATTGGCTACACAGCGTGGAGTTTGATGGACAACTTTGAATGGATGCGTGGATATACGTGAGTATACACATACGTATTTGTAATATTCTTTGCTTCATACGACAAACATTTAAAATTTAATATCAATTTTATTAAACTTCACTCAATGGCAAAAATGTTTGGCAACTGTAAAAAATCTAAAAACAACGTTTTCCTGTTAATTCCAAAGCTTCATAACAGATTTTTCTTCCTAAAATTCATATATAGTTCCAAAAAAACTTTTACTTTCAAAAATCGAACAACAAAGTATCAAAATATAATGCCGGAGAATACATTAAAAAAAGGAATATATCACTTCGCACGCCACTGAGGATAAGAAGAAACGAACTAATTTTTGTAGCTCTTTTCACTTCTGTACTGTATGTCTGTATTTTAAATCATTTTTCTTTTCTCCAAAATCCCTATTGAAATATCAATTTGAAAGCCTTGTAACTTTTTCTTAAGTTTCTCCGAATTTTTGTCTACCGAAACTTTTTTTAAGGTAAAATTCTCTACCGTCTGCTTCAGTTTGACGTATTGCAACTGGGATATATACCAAATTATTTTATTTTAATTCCTTAATAAGATCAATTTCATATATCTCATATATCTGCGTTCATATTCATTTTCAGAGAAAAGTTTGGCCTATACTACGTCGATTTCGAAAGTCAAAATCGTACTAGAGTACCTAAGAGTTCCGTTGAATTCTTCAAGAAGGTGATCGCAACACGTTGCTTGGTGGATACATGTGAAGAAGCATAAAGTGATATATTAATGTATTGTTTGAAATAAAAGACAAATATAATTTATACGTGTGTTATTTTTCGTACATTCCTTAAATTGGATCCAAGACAGCTGAATTCACATTTGATATCATACAAAAAAAAAGAAAGATATAAAATCACCACTCATAATAAAAAATGGGATATTAGAAAAAACGTTTGACGTCGTAAAATATATTAGTATAGTACGATTTTACATGAACAAAATTGGCAACAAAATTAATAACCATGTCGTCTTTAAATGTTTTAAATAATGATATTTTGGGAAACAACTAAGTACTTCACGGCTTCACGGACTGGTATTTAATTATTCCCCCAATATCTATCTAGTAAATAGCTAAGATCATGCATCAGGAGAGTCACCAGATATAGACCTGTGTCGACCTTATCAGTTTTAGAGTATTTTCATGACCCAGTGATTAAATTGAAGGTAATTTGTTTGGGAATGGGGTCAGTTTTTAATGAAAACCAGTTTATTGGTTAGTCGACGTTTCGGCTATATTTAAGCCTTCTTCAGGACACTAAAATAATTACAATAAATAAACCTACACATCATTATACATATTGACTATTAGGATTAAAACAGATTAAAATTCAATAACATTACTATGATGAAGGATCAAGAACCAATCACAAGGTAACGTTTACGAAAATATGATAATAAATTTATCGGGTACTTACATCCAAAAAAGGTTTTCCGTGTAACAAATAATCTAAATAATGGGGAGTAAAATAGGTAGTATGTTGCTGTATCAAAATAGTACATTACTCGATGTTGATCTATGAATGAAACATATTAGAGGATTTAAGTGTGGAACAGAAAAAAGGGGGCCAGGTTTAGGATTGTGGTCTGAACAGGCTGGAGAATCGGTCCATAGAGAATTTCTCAAATATTGGGAAATATTCAAAATAAACGCGATTGATGACGAAACGTATTCGAGCCGATTAAAGAAAGCGGTAGTCACATTTTCATCTCAACACATATAAAATAAAAAAAGATAACTTATTCTTGTATCAGCTAGTGGATTAGGTCTACAGAAGAAACCACTTAAAAAAAACGCGCCGTGATATCTATCTCATTGATGGTGTGGAAATGGTTACTGATCTCCAAGAGAGTAGTTGAACAAAATATATATATATATTTTGTTATGCTAAATAAAATTTTACAACATGGTTGAAAAATGAAAAATAACGATATCTTCAAAACAGGATCAGCTAGGATTTTAAACCAAGCATTTTTTTAATGTATAATCAATATCAAATACGATGGCGTTGGCCGATTTTATCGTCATTTTCAAGCAACCTATCGTTGCTTCAAGCCTGGTGTGGACTGTACAGTCTTAGATACCAATCAATACCTAGTCATGATATTATTTTGTCCAGTGCGAGGTTACTTTATTGTTTCAAACTTGGCTGGACCCGCTGCACCAGCCTGGCTGGATCAGCCTAAGTGAAATACGGCCTTTAGAGGCATGGCTGGTTTTGCGATAAATTCACTTAAAATGTACCCTATACAGGGTGTGCCATTTAACACTCCCGCTGCCAATATCTCCGAAATTAAGAAATTTATTTTAGTTCCGGATCATGGGGTTCTTAGATCCCTCGAATAGCTTCAAATTACAGTTAGAACTGTTAGTTCAAATCTTTCTGTATAGATGGCGTGACGATACTAAAAATTTTTTGATCCCTGGAACGTGGAAATGCAGTCAATCTGAAAGATCGTTAAATTATCAGTTTTTTTATAAAAATTTTCCCTATATTTACTTGTTTTCGAGATTTGTTGACTTCAATATGCAATGTATGATGTAGCAGGAAAATCTATTATTTTATTTAAATCACACTGAAACAAAATATTCTTTTAAAATACTTTTTTAACGACTTTATTCACACCACATACTAATTAATAAACAATAAATTATAAAAAAACAAATGATCAATTACAGAAAAAGTAATAGAAAGTATTTAAAATAATAATGGAGATGTCCAAAATTACGTCCTTCAGCATTAATGTTAGTCTTCTCGTTAGTTCGACATTACAGGCTCTTAATAAAATGTCACGATCTAAAGCCGCTGTAACTGCATAAATTTTATTATATAAATCTGCCATGTCTTCTATATTGTCCTGATTCCTGATATACAATGTTTTTTAAATGACCCCATAGGAAAAAGTATGGTGAACGAGTCGGCCACTTTATAACTCTGTTAGTACCTAACCGCCTTCCCGGAAACCTCTGATTTAAGTATTCTTGTACAGCATTAGTATTGTGGGGGGACGCTCCATCCTGTTGGAGCCAGAAATCATTTACCATATGTTATCCAATAAATTTTTTGGTTTGTTTCTCAGAAAATGTAAATAACTGTTACCTGTTAATGTTCCGTGGTAAAGATATGGTCCAATTAAATAGTCATTCAAAATGCCGCACCAAAGATTTACAGAAAAAACAGATTCATTTCGGGTTTGGTGCATTATTCTTGGATTATAGTCAGGCAATTGTGGCGTATTACCGTACCATTATAGTGAAATCTACTTTCATCACTCCATAAGATACTAAGTAAATTATTGTTTCTTCATAGATCACTGTTAATAATTGAGCTATAAAATCTAATCCCCGTTGCTCATCACCATCACTTAAATGTTGGATGATGTGATTTTTATAGGGGAAATAGCGATTGTTTTTCAAAATCAGCGTTCAAAACATATAGGATTTTACGTTGCAGTACTCCTTTGCTTGAAGCAGCTTGCGTAGGTACATAAAATGGTAAAATATTTTTTGCAATTTTTTAATACGTAAAAAAATTTTTAATTATTATTTACAATAGTTTTAAATGACACATAATTAGTTTGTTTATGGTATGTTTGAAATACTGAAATTGATATTATCAAAACACTAGATTAACGAGTAAATTATAGTTATAAAAGCTTGGGTCGTAATCTGCTAAACCAAAATGGTTTACACATAAAGAATTGAGCAAGAAAGTGTTTGTTAACTTAGGGTGGAGACCCACTTTAAACTTGTTTTATAGTAATTTTTTATAACAGACATCAGACAAACATTATTACCTCTTCGCCCATCTATTTCAAATAAAAAAAAATATGTCTGATCAAATTATAATGGGTGATTCACAACTTGTCCAAAAAAAAATTGGTAATAGATGCGTCATACGTATAGTTTCCGAGAAAAAATTATTGAAGTTGTAGTATTTACAACTCTTACATTGCTGGACTATTGTAGTCCCTAGCGTCATTCGCGTTGTGCATTGTACGCCATGCCCTCTCTCTCCACGTGGCCCCAGGTGATTGCGAATACTGAAATCCGATTATATTGACGTTTTTGCGATAGTGTTTACATTAGTTTTTCAAGTGTTGAAAATGGCAACAATTTTTAGTTTTACTTGAAGATAACTGTAAAACAAATTTTTACACCCCCCAAGTGTCTGAATGCTCTCGACGTTTACAAACAAAGGTATCCAAAAGTATAAGAATTCAACGGAATTAATGTTATAAATATTAATTAGATGATACATAACTTTTTATGGGTTTCGTAAAAACAAGTACCTTTTCACATATTCATTTACTTTTATGGAACTTCATGTATTTTTTAATTATTAGTTCTTGTTATTTTTCAAGCGACTTCAACGTATAACCTGGTGTCTATTAAAAAATTATATATAAGACCCACCCAACAATATTCGTTATACACAAACAGAGCTGCACTTTTCTTGAAATTTTCCGTGTATGTATGAAATGTATGACAATAAGGACAAATATCAACTATCAACTTTTTCTTTCAATTAGTATTAGTGAGAAAATAAATAGCAAATTATTAATATATTATCCTATAAAAACCAATTCTTTGAGTATCGTTTAAGGAAGAACTTGGCAAACCAGTTGTTGTGTTCTTGTATGTCTCCTTTAATAGATTTAAAAGCTTTCTCATGTCCCATAGGTATATTGATGCTATACAATGATACACTTTTCTTGTACAAATATCATTTATTATGTTATGTAACACCCTGTGCCCAGAATATATTTCCATTGCCAACTTTAAAAGCCATTCCTTCTCGTACATATAAACAAATTTGTATGCATATGTAATAAGTATAAACTATTATGAAAATAAAAATATATAGTGCTTCTTCATATATTTTTTTAACAATTAATTTACAGTTTTTGTCTGATTGTTGTACTCATAGTAACACAATTTCTAAACGATATAAAAACATTAAGAAGGCAATGCAATATGCAAGCCAAAATTATGTACCCTGCAATATGTAAACTTTCTAATACTCTTGACATTGTGGAAAGCAACTAATCTATATTAAATTACATCCCCAATATAGCTAAGAATATTATGGTATGCAGTCTAATCCAAATATATGCAGGTAAGACGCTATTCCTTATGCCTTCTATAAATGTATGAAACACAAGTATTGACGGAAAAAAAATCGCACTGAATTTATTTTTCTATTAGTCAAAAGGTGTATGTACCTATAAATCTATTAATTAATTTTTCTTCGGTCATTTCCTTGAAGAAGATCTTTTCAAGTCATGCTAAGAAATAAAAGATTCTTTAATATTATCATCTAATTTTTATTTCAGTTATGCATTACACAAAATGTAGAACTGGAATGCAACTTTTTAAAAATATCTGCACAACTTGTAGAACGCGGTTTTTATATCACATTCGTTAAGGCTTAGCTAAATCAATTGACGGTCGTTTGGCAAAAGATTAAAAGACCATGATGACGTCAAATATTTGAGACTGCGTTTTTCTTACTGTACGTGTAGATATTTTACTTATGATCGGCACATACTTATGTCGTAGGTTAGAATCTATAGACAATGGTAAACTCGACATTCAAAAAGACTTCTGAAGTTGTTAATCAGAAAATATGCCTCCTCAGAAAACATTACTTTCTGTTAAGAATTACTTTTCAAAAATGCTTCGGATCTGATTTACACTAAATCTGCTAAATTGATGTTTTGACTATATATATTTTTAAATTAATATTTTCTTTTAAATATATACGGTATGGACTAAATACCTATAACAACCAACGTAATAAGAATATATCATTCGCATTAATTATATGTTTTGCATGTTATTATCTTGTATGATATTTTACTTTCCATTAAACGAAATTTTGTTTATACAATTTTTACTTCAATTAATTAAATTTTTATTTTTGCTTTTTTTCATATTTTGAAATGTTCCCAAGAATTTTTAATCACTTAAAGATATATCTTCTATAATGTAAAGATATAATGTTTTATACTTTCAAACATTTATAAAATTTTATAATTGATGGATTCTTTTTTAATTAAAACTATATTTTGTTTTTTTAGTTTTATTTGAAAGTAACTACAAAATAACATATCTAAACATTTATTTGTTTATTCCTCACAAGTGTCTACTAAGCAATGGGTCTCGACAACTTTTTTATAGTAAGACACAGAAGTTTTGGGCGTCCGAGTCCTATTAATGTTGTCAAAATCTACATAGAAGAGCCCGAATCTTTGCCTAAAAAAAGAAAATTAGTTATATTGCATAAACATATTTATATGTATATTGCTTATTTCAGAAATTAAATAGAATTTTAATCTTAATCAGTTGTTTTATATAATAAGTGGTATTTTGTTTTGTAAATTTGACATAAACACTGAGAAATGTAAAATTTTAAATAAATGAAGCAACAGTGAATTGTAAACACTAAGGTTTCGAGTGCACTGACAAAAATATTCGAAATTTTGTTAATTTAAGGCGTTTTTAACTACAAATTATGTCTGTAATATTGACAAATTGTAAACACTATATGGTTTTGAAGTATTTGTACTTGTTATGTTTCAAGCAACTTACGTGTAACCCTGTAACCATTCGAAGTTATCCATAAGACTCCATGCAGTGTAGCCAATTACATTCACTCCATCTTCCATAGCACTCCTTACATTGCTGAGATAATCCTACAATTAATTGATCAGTGTCGATAAAATACATTTAAAGCGATTATATGAAATATGCTAAATTGTATCCAATCAAACAAAGAAATAATTTATTGAATACGCATTAGAAGAAGGCAAAATACCGACTTTCTACGATTTTTAAAGGCAAGGCATACACTATAAATATAATTACCCTGTAGTAACGGACTCTCTGATCATCTTCTAAGGTGGAACCGTCATCTGCGAGACCATTCTCTGTAATTATAATTGCTGGATCGTTGTATGTCTCCTTCAACCAGTTTAAAACTTTTCTCATTCCCCATGGAGTAAGCTAGATTTATAAAGAAAAACATCCCATTAGAATTACGTTAGACGAACAAGAATATTAATAAAAGTAATAATAATATCTACTCCTATGTCATGTAAAAAAGTAATTAGTTTACTGTTTAATTTTTGTAATCCATTATTAAAGAAAAAAGTACCTTCACCCAAGAAGCGGCGCTTGACTCCCAATCATCTGATTGGTAGCTTTTGGTACCTAAATCGTAATTGTAATTCGGTTCTCCGATTGGTACTTCGTCCATAGCTTCTACTAGGTACGAAGTATACATATTGAGACCCATGAAATCGAAAGTGCCGCTAATGTAGGAGATTTCTTCGTCAGTGAATGCTGGAAGACGGGACTGGTTGAAGCCTTCAGCTAAACTACGTTCTGCAATGCGGGTCTTCATTATTTCTGGGTAGTCACTGTTATAAATAGCATTTGCGTACCATCCATACTAAAAAGATATGTGATCGATTATAGTATATTATTTAACGAGCGGTAATGCAGGTCATAACTCACGCAGATGAAGTTTGCAGCACGAGCCGCAGGCGAGTGCTGTAATTCATCAAGTGAGTTATGACCATTACCGCAAGTTGAATACTATACTTTATCTACGACTACATTTTCTGTAAACGAGTTAACGTTTTTATTGCTACACCAATCTTGAAAATTTTTATATACACCTTTATACTTGTTTTTTGATTTTTCTGGTAATAAATTCTGTATTGCATTATTAGCTACTTCTCTTATTTCTGGAGGTGTACATAATAACTCATCTTCGCTATCTAAATTCATCTTTTTTAGGACTATTATTAGAAATTGATTTGAAAACGTCAAAATTATTTTGTTAAAATATCAAATGACATTAGTCCCCTCAATGATAATAATTGACAGTTCCGCCTACTGAGAGGCGTTGGCAATTTAATAATTTTAAAATCTTTTAATTATTCATTCCTTTCCACTTGTTAAAAATTCTTTCCATTTTACACCAATGGAACGTATTTATCGGCTTAAAAATTTCCAAGAATTTACTGCGTACACTATTTACATACCGAATTATCATTGTAGAAGCCCAGCGTGAGTTATAATAACTCACTATAAAAACTCACGCTACTTGTTTATTAATACTATTAATTGCTCAAAAGCAGTTGAATAATTAATATAGAAATTAATAGGAGTAGATAAATGTACTTACTTCAAAATTGCTGGATAATATGTCAATAATTCCATCTAAGGATTAGGCTCACTAAAATCATTTGCCTTATATTTGCATTAGTGATTCGTTTGGCGGATTGAATCTAAAATCCCAGTCAGACGTTGTATGAGGTGTCCCAAACCCAAATCCGCAAAAATCACAAAAATCACAACATGGCTACCCAAGATATTGAAGTTTAAAGTTTTTTACAAATATCTCGCGTTCTATGCGTCGGACACTCATAAGGTCAAGATTGGTGTAAGCTTCGAAGCATTCAAGCCCGATTTTTCTGCAACCACACCTGTTGTTGCAACCTTTTCAGCAATTGCAGAATATACCAGATTTGCATATCATTTAATTCTCTACAACTTTTACATTGACTTCATGGACGTTCATGCATAGGAAGCGAGATATTCGGGATGAAATTTTGGAAATTTTACCTTAAATATCTCGAAAAGAGTTCTTATGGATGTCCGATGCATAAAACCCGAGATATTTGCAAAAAAACTTTGATCTTCAATGCCTTGGCCATGTTGTGATTTTTGAGGTTTTGGGACACCTCAAACATCTGTGCAAAAATTCAGCTTGGAGGGAGTTTTGTCGCGGTTTTCTCTTTTTTTGTCTAATTTCCTTGGGCTGTAACAGTTTCACTTATATGTAGCCGGCCTTCAATTTATTTCTCAAATATCTTTGTTAAAATTACGAAACACTGAATAAATTATAGATAAGCGATTGAAGAAACGTATTTTTAATTTTAACGTTGATTGGTTACGTAGAAGAAACTTGCTTTTAAAAAACTCCATGGACAAAGTTCAGTCAAGTACAGTCGGCGCCACCCAAATGTGAACGGCAATATTGTACCGTGTAATTTAGACAATCATGGTCGTCGTAAAATTCAATAGTTGTCAAATATATATGTCACTTAGAGCAAAACATAATGAAATGTAAACAAGTAACGTGAAATATGCAGGAGCATTTAACTGAGGCGCAAAGAGCAAGGGCTGTAGCTAAATTGGAAGATAATTGGTCTTTTAGTGAAGTGGATGCTGATTGAAATGTCAGTAAGAGTTGTATATTTTATATTAAATAACGCTGGCAAGAAGAACAAAGATTACAAAGATATATCAGGCAAGGTGTCGGGAAGGTTTCCAGTGACGCGGAAGCCAATGCCTTGGTCGAATTTATCCATCAGAATACCCTCTATGTGTTACGCCACTAAGAAAAGTTTGATTTACTACGATAAAATCCAGATGAAATTTCCATAACAACCAAAATCCGTTCACATTTGAGTGGCGCCAACTGTACATTGAGATTTCGTAACAAGTAAAATATAAACATACTAACTTGGAGATGTTGTTTTAAACGGAGACAAGCCTTGAAAAGTCTTCGCTAAAAATGTAGCTTGATAAAAATTAGTAATTATGACATGGTGCGGATATGGTATACCTACCGTGAATGTACGAATAAAAGGATTATACGCGAATCGTTTTCCATTTCGCCAAGCACCAAATGCGTCAAGATTTAAAACACTCGAATCCCTTCAAGGACGTGATGGAGATTACGATTGTCCTTTAGATAGGCCGAGGGAAAAATTATAAATTAGATAGAACGTGTAATTGTTAGACAAGTTGGTATTCCTTATAGTGTTGTTTGGTGTGCACTGAGAGAAGAACATATGTATCCGTTTCATAGACAAATAGTGCAGGTGCTGCTACAACAAGACTTTTGCAACTGGCTACCAGCAAATTTTCAACAACACCAAGTCCTGCTAAAAGTTTATAGTAAGACGATTGGAATTTTTTATTTCTAGAGTTGTGCTATTGAAAATTCTCATACTGCCCATTGTACTAATTTTAATCGTTGGCTCTCCATTAATGTTTGGGCTGGCACTGTGAATAATTTTTTAATAAGACTTTTTGTATTACCAAACAAATAGTACTTGTGTTTGAATTTTTTAGAAAATTATTTATCGATTCTCCTTAATGATGGACCTCCCGATCTACTACGGTGAATATTTACATGATGGATCTCCACCCCATTATTCTCTTACATGTACTTCTTTAGTGGAATTCTTAATAACGAGCGTTCAAATAAAAACGTGGTCGAAGTTGGCTCTGACACATTGGACGTAGGGAGTAGCTTATAGCGA